AAAAAATTAAATTTATTTATATTTATTAAAAATAATTATTTTTATTTAAAAATTATAATAAATTAGAATAATTAAAAATAATTAATTAAGTAATTAAAGTTTTATATAAATAAAATATATGAAATTTGTACAGAAATAAATTCCACGTCTAATAAAATAGCAAAAACAAAACTATAAAATAAACAGCATGAGTTCCTATTGGACCGTGTCTTATACACTCGCAAAACGCACGTGAGTATTGCACCACCAAAGGCAAAACTGTTATTAAGGCGTCAACCCAAGGACAAAAGGGGAATAAAAAATTGACACGCTCATCCAATAGACGTCGCACACGTCACCTCCCAAATCAGTACAGAACGTTCCTTGACAGAGGAAAAAAAAATTGTTAATTTAAAATCTAAAGAAATAGAAACAGAAAAAAAAAAAAAAAAAAAAAAACCAAAAAAACAAAAACAAAAACAAAACAAAAACCTCTGCCGTCTTCTGTCACGGCCCCTTCCGCTCTTCTCTCTGGGGCTTTGCTCTCTGTCTCTCTCCTGGACGATCTGGTTCATCGACTCCAGGGTTAGGGTTTTATACTTTTTATTTGATATGATCTTACGATCTTAGTGTGTTTTTTTGTGGGTTTTAATTTGATTTTGTTTTTTGGTTTCATTTCTGTTTTCACCTCAAAAAACAGGGTTCATCCGCTTTAAGGAATCGTTTCAGCAACTTTTCTACGGAACAGGTTTGGGTTATTGTTCATACTTGGTGTTAACATTTCAAGTTTTTATCTTTTCTTATCTGCTGCATGTGTAATATGAAAATTTTCGTTTAATATGGGTATGATGGTGTAGAGTTTTAGGAGAAAGTTGGAGTCTTTTTAGCATTTTGTATATGATTGTTATGTTGTATATAAAGCTTTTCATATGGGGATTAGATATTTTAACTTGGTGCATGTTTGTATAGTTTCCCAGGTGTCTGTTGTTTTTATTATGAGTATTCATTTCATGATTAAAACAACAGAAGTTGTATGAATATGTAGATGGGATATGGGGCACTGGTTTGTCTTAGCTCATTTGAGTGATTGTCCGTGATTTGCTAATATCGACCTGTAACGTCTCAAATTCTAGCATTGTGTACAGGGTACTGAGTAGCCATACATATCTGGAAATTTTTATTCTCTTGAGCTATTAAAATTGAACTGTGATATTTTACTTAGGTGGAGGTGCTTGGAAAAAAATTCTAGTTATTATATATTCTATGAGTTGAGTTCTGGTTGCCACTTTACATATAATCCTGAGAATATGATTAGGAGAAAGGGTGTGACTTGTGAGTATGGGCATGGCCAGATTGGATAGTTTTCGAAGGCCAATAAGACCTTAGTTGTATGTCTTTTTGGCCCTTTTTTGTGATGGGAACATTACCTGATTCATGGTTTCAAGAAATATGTTTTGTTTATGATTATTTCATAATCGTTTAATAAAGAATAATTAGCTATGAGAGATGCACGAGTTCAGTTATCACTTAAAAAGGTTATGGAAAGTCGGGTGTACAAGCAGAATACAATAAAAGCCATTTCAGTGAGCAGTATTTTTGTATTTGTTGTCAAATAAGATTGAAGAAAGGTGGAAGGCTCTCTGCATTAGTAGCTTCATATGTTTTCCAGGTAAATATGAGAGAGGGACTTTTGGTTTCGGTTATCTTTTCCATTGTTTACAGCCTGTTTGACCATTGTTTCTTCCAAATTCAACTTTTGTTTTCAATTCTTTGATACTAGGATTCTTTACTGTTCATAAAGGGCTAGCTAATTAATGCATGTCATCACGTCAATTATCCTTGTATTGCTAAATAAGGGAAACAAATAAATGGCATCAACACAATATAGTAAACAAATAAATGGTAAGAAAAAAAAATCAGATACATTGCCTAAAAAATGTAAAATGCATGGCATCTGCTTGACATAAGGGATGCCATATTTCCAAGCATATACAATTGATGTAACACATGGACAACATGGCATGTAAGCTTTTAATTATTTGGCCCTTGGATGTCATAATTAAAGTGTTCTTCGTCATTTGCTTTATATTGTGTTGAAAACTACAACCAGTGTGTAGATTTTATGTTATAGACAAAATACCACTATTTGTGGGTTATTCGCATTTATATTTATGTTTTTGAATTCCAATCTTTGCTTATTGGTCTTTTTCAATTGCTCTTTTCCCAAGGAGTCAATACGAACTTATTTTTCTTCTTATAACTAGATATATATTTTTTTGATAAGTACATATTTATTAAGCATTTTAATTAGATCCATCACCCTTTTGTTGTTTGAAATCAATTATAGAGAAAGATTTCTTGTCGTGCAAGATCAAGATACATATGTTTTGTTGGCCCAAAAAAAAAAAATGAAGATCAAGAAATATGCCCATTTCAGTGTGCATGCCTTTGTCTTGATTGTTTATCAAAAAGGTTGTATGTAAGAACCATGGAGCATCTCAGTCTGAATTATCTGTGTTGCTTGGGATTTTAAATTTCTTGTTTAGATTCTAAGATTTTGAGTGAATTTTGTGCAGGAGAGGTGAAAGAATGGACCATGACAAGACAGGATGCCAAGCTCCTCCTGAAAGACCTATCTTATGCATCAATAATTGTGGTTTCTTTGGAAGCCCGGCTACCATGAATATGTGTTCCAAGTGCCACAAGGATATGCTGATGAAGCAAGAGCAGGCTAAGCTTGCTGCATCATCTTTTGGTAGCGTTGTGAATGGATCATCAAGCAGCAATGGTAGTGAACCCATTCTTGCTACTGGGGTGGATGTGCAAGTCAATCCTGTGGAGTTGAAGACTGTTTCTACTCAGCCATCACCTAAATCTGGTTCAGGGGAGAGTGTAGAGGCAAAGCCAAAGGAGGGTCCTAACCGTTGCACCACTTGCAAAAAACGGGTTGGCTTAACAGGGTTCAAATGTCGTTGTGGTGAGCTTTTCTGTGCATCACACCGCTACTCAGACAAACATGACTGCCCCTTTGATTACCGCACAGCTGCACGGGATGCAATAGCTAAAGCCAACCCAGTTGTCAAGGCAGAGAAGCTGGATAAGATCTAGACACAATGGGTGGAGTTTAATATGCTGGAGTATGTTGCTTATTTCATCCAAGAAGTTTATGTTTTGGCCACATAGCATATCTGGTGTCCTCTTTTATCAATATATGCCGGTTGGTATGGCAGCCTAGGGCATCTATAAGCTATGAACTCTATCTTGTGATTGGTGAAGAACTTATATGTTGGCACCTCTGTTTGCCTTAATCTATGGTGGTTTGATGGACTTAGTCAATGGTTAGCTTTGTAATGTGTCATTGTGTTTCATATGGCATCTCTCTCTCATACTGCTTGTTGAAATGGTATGTGCAAATTTCCAGAGATACAAAGGCATTATGAATGTGATTTATGGGTGGCCGTGTAAATTTCAATTTGCTTTTTATCTTATTGTCCTGGATACATCAATTCCTTAACAAATCTAGTACTTGCATTTGCAGTTCTCCCAGGAAGGTTGCTCAACAGTGGTATGGACTGAATGGTATCTTACATTTAATTGGAAGTCGGGAACTAGCATTAATGACCATCAAACTTTCTAGCAGGATAAATAGAAAACAAACAAATTGCTTCCCTGCATCTTAGTCCCTGGATGCAATTCATAGTTGAAGCATATTCTGTCATAGTCAGGGAACTTAAATCGATGTAAAATGAAATTGCTGGCCTTTAGAGGAAAGATTGTGCTGCAGAGCATATTCAAAGGGACTGCTGCTCGAACATGGATATAAAAAATTATCAGAAAAACATTTCCTAAAGATGTTAGAGCCGACAGAAAAACATATAATGACCCTCTTTACCAAAAATCCCAACATTCAGCTTGGTGCATCAGTTGATCTCTATTTCGATTCCCAAACTGGAATACAAAATTAATCGACAAAAGCCTGACCTCCACATAATTGCATTTGAACTTCGTTAGCATGTGTCAAAACTAAAAAGACCAACAGAAGGAAACCTTCACGGTTTCCACTCTTCCATTCTCCTGTTCTTCTCTAGTTTCTCTACCCTACTCTATTCTAGTTTGACAAACCCTGAAGGAAAAATGTATATTGAGTTAGAATCACAGGGGAGGAGCCATCATGGGAGAGTCAGCCTCGAGATACTTGCAGATCCGCTCCATAACCTCACGACCCTTTGCACTATTCTGCATGAACGTCTCTGCGCATCTTTGCTCTATCTTCTCTGCCATTGATGCCAGAGCTGATAGTGGCTTAATACGAATACTGGTCTCCTGGCGACAAACTGTCCACTCAGTTGGATTATCTGAGTGAGGATCATACCGTACCTTCTCTTCCACTTCTATGAACTTCTGGAGACTGATGTTCCGAGTAGTAAGCTCCATCGACTGTGCCTTTGCATCAACAACTGTTGATTCAACACATTGGCAAATATCCTGACCAACAATCTTGTGAAGAAACCATGGCCCTGGAGCATGAACGGTGAGGCCACGAGTAGTGTAAAGCTTCCCAGAAACAGGGTCAAGTCTGCGATTCAATGTGTCAACTTCAAGGATGTGGGACAAACTACGCCTGTTCTCAGGCTCAACATATTTGCGCCAAGATGCAGCAGTCACTCGCTCCCAAGGATGCTTGTAAACATGCTCTTGTGCATATGCTTTCACCATCTTCTTCTTCAGTTCCCTTCATGGATAAGTCAAAAAATTCGATTATTTTAGGCCAAGTTAAGTTATTCATCGAAAGAAAGCTGATTGAAAACAGATAATTGAAAATAAAACAAGCTCTAACAACCCAATTTTTACCAAATCAGAAGCCAATAAAATTTCAATTATGGATATTCCTTCAGAAACCAATTTAAAGTAAACATTACGGCATGTTTTGGTCCAAAATAGACTAAATTCTCAACAGCTAAAGTTAAAGCAAATTTGATTAATAGATTCTAAAATCAAGCAGCAGCACCTTTTTCAACTACAAACAAAAAGAAAGACAGAGTAACACAGAATCTGAATAAAATCCACACGAATATAACTGGCATCAAATCAAAACCTGAACCATCAATCAAGTAACAGTATACAAGAAAGAAAACCAAAAATAGAACCATAACTCAAAAACTGGTGATACAAATTATACAATTATGGGGGAAGGAAAAGATTAAAACTTGCAATTCAAAACACCCAAAAAAATGAGAATAATTAGAAAATCAAGCTAAAAACCATAATGGGTAACGCAGAAGCTTAAAAGCGTCACCAAATTGCAATAACTATTGTTCAGAGTATAGAATGGTCGTAGCCAAAACATAGAGGAAAGAAGCAAAGAGTAGAAGGTAGAGATGAAAACACACCTTGGAGAGATGATGCAGAGACTGAAACCCTAACGGTCAGAATGAGAGGTCAGAGCAGAATTGGTGTTGGTTTTGTAGAGTACGTCCACCTAAATCCTACTTTTCTGGAGGTGGATGCTTTTTTCTTTTTGCACAAGAAAGAAGAAAAGCACGAAGGCTTGGATGGTCCTCTCCTCTCTCCTCTATATTGAGACCCAAGTTGTCCTAATTTGAGCCCAATTCTAAATCTTCTCAGTCTGGGCTCTTATAACTAAATATCATTAACTCTTTAAGTTTAACCCAAACGTACCCCAATTGGGATATGTTATCACTTATCAATCTAAATTTAGCCCAAATCTATCTTCATAGTTTCTAATAAAAACATTTTTTTATGTAAGGAAAAAAAAAAGAAAAAAAAGAAGAGGAAACAAAACATATTTATATTTTGCCAAAAACACAACATGATTAATGTTATTTTTTTAAGGTTAAATCTTTAATTTGATCTCTAAACTATTGTATGCACCATTATTTTTTTTTTGAACAAATTCGCAAAGGGTCGGATTTGAACCGTTGACTTGGGAATGGGGAAATGCAATTATACATGACTTAACGTCACTGGACCCGAAGGCCCAAGTGCTATGCACCCTCAATTTAATCCTTAAATTTAAAAAAATATTGATTTAATTCTTAAATTATTATATAAATTTTAATTTAATCTGTACTGTTACCAATTTATTCCTATTAAGGAGGTGGATGCCTTTTTTCTTTTTGGACAAAAAAGAAGGAAAGGCGGCAAAGCACGAAGGCTTGGATGGTCCTCTCTCCTCTGTGGTCTTCAGCCACCTCAATTATTAAGAACCCAAGTTGTCCTAATTTGAGCCCAATTCTAAATCTTCTCAGTCTGGGCTCTTATAGCTAAATATCATTAACTCTTTAAGTTTAACCCAAATGTACCCCAATTGGGATATGTTATCACTAATCAATCTAAATGTAGCCCAAATCTATCTTCATATTTTCTAATAAAAACATTTTTTTATGTAAGAAAAAAAAAAAAAAAGAGGAAACAAAACATATATATATATATATTTTGCTAAAAACACAACATGATTAATGTTAGTTTTTTTTAGTACTATAGTTATTTTTTAATTTTTTTCTTCAATTTAACAGCTAATGGAGTATTTCTTCCGTTTCTTTTTAGTATTTTTAATTTAATATATATAAATTTTAAATAAAAATTTAATATATTATATAAATGATAATTAAAATTTTTTTATCAAATAAAAATATTTGACATTAATTTTACGTAGAGCTAAAAACTTTTTAATTATTATTTATATAAATTGTTAAATCTTTATCTA